GGCTGTGAAAATTTGTTTGACTCATTGTCTAAAATGCTGATATTAAATTGCTACTATTATCACAATCTTTGTTAACTATTTATACTCATTTTTTTCAAACTGGCAGTCATCAGGGATTTGGATGTCTTCCCGAGTTAATTTAATTTGGTGATTTGAGTTATATTTGCATTGTAGGGAAAAAGCGCGGTTCATGACTGATCTCAGGGCAACTTCCTGAATCGTCCACACTTTCGCACTGCTTGTCCGGCTGTGGTGCCCTCCTGAGAAAGGGCGACTATTCAGGCCACCGCCATGAATCTGACCTGAACTGCACTGGCCCGGCCGCACGGGACCACTCAGTGCTGGACCCTGAACCCCCTGAATACACGCTTACCAGCCGCCGTCTACCTGCTAGGGCCCCCCCCCCCCCTTTTTTTCCCCGGCCGGGGCGACCCTGAATGCGTGCCATGGTTCAGATTTTTAGGCATGGATTCAGGGAGCCACGACCCTATCCCTTCTCCATTGCCATGCCAACTCGGTTCAGCTTACATTCAGGCAAGATTCAGGGACGATCATTTCTCCTAGGGCGCCTCGGTATTAAGGGGGGATCCTAGTGTAGCGGCTCAAAAACAATGCTTATTTTGCGAATTTTGTATTTAAAATACTGTAGCTCGTATCGAAAATTTGAGAACACGGTTTAATAGATGGCACTTTAATGCAAAAAATGCAAAAACAAGCGTCTCAGTGTCTTCAAAGGTGTGGCGACACGGCCTGCTACAAGGGAGCATGTAGTTTTATGCTGGCCGTACACTTTCCCACGGACTGGTGCGTCTAAAACAGTCGTACGAAACGGTGTTTTGTTCGGGGGGAACCTGGCTATGGTCGGTACTAGAAGATCTGGGATCGGAAGTGCCCTTCATATTAAAAATAAATTAAAACATTGAAAATTTTTACCTCAACTTCAGTACTAAAAGTTTGACTTACTCAAAAAAATACTAAAAATAATTTTATCGTAAAGATCCTAGTACCGACCATAGCCAGGTTCCTCCTGAACAAAACACCGTTTCGTACGACTGTTTTAGACGCACCAGTCCGTGGGAAAGTGTACGGCCAGCATAGCGCCACACCTGTGACACGCCATCTTCCACCAGGGCGTGTCGCCACAGTTTTCAAGCGATCAGGACGTTTTTACTTTAGTTTTGTAGATGAAACTGCCATCTTTTAAACGGTGTTTTGTACAGTTTGATAAGAGCTATAGTTTTTTTTTAAATAATTCCTAAAATTACCCTTGTTTTTGAGACGCTACACTAGGATCCCCCCTTAACGCGCGTGCGATGCCAGTGATTCGATTACTCTTAGACCCCTCCACCTCCCTCCAACGCCCCCCCCCCTCTCCTCTCCGGCTGGCTAAAGGGGGTGCGTACTGCGTACTGTACTCTAAGGGTGAGAGAGGCAGAGAAGAGAATAATGAAACGCGTGTGGGGGTGTGGGCGTTCTGAGAGGGCGGTGACCGCTCGGGACCAGAAATGTTCCGCAAGCTTCAAAATCAAACCGTGAATTTTAGTTTCGATGTGATTATGAACGTTATGATGAATCGCCTTTAGCTAACTCTGAGGTGACGCTTAAAAGTACAGCTTACAGCCGAGACGGAAATAATCCACTGCTTTGGTTGAATGAGCACACTAAACCCTTTTGCATTTTATTGTGCTTAAACATGCAGACACTGATAAATAAAGTGTAACGGGCGTGCACTTTTAAGTGCTCAACACTACAGTGAAAACCCTTGAGTGAGGTAAGGTATCGTTCTCAAAGTGAGTGAGACAATTATATTTTGCCTTGCACAATCAGAGCGATGACTATCAGGCTCACCCCATTTAAGACATCCCGACCCAAAATGTTTTGTACGCTAAAGGTGCGCGTTAAGTGCATGTATGAATGCACCGAATTGTCAGTCTGAAGGAGTAAGATTTCTCAGACCTCGCCCAGTTGCAGTGGGTGAGGACCGCAAATTATGACTTAAATTGAGTCAGAGTCCACTGCTAAAACAAAGGTGTGACATCAAACCTGTAAAAGTCATTAAAGAGCTAGAGGCGTTTACGTTTTACTGTTTTCGAAATATTGTCTGCTGAAGCAAACCAAGGTTTGTACTTGTACCGCCAACAGCATGTCCACGAACGAACTCACGCGCACACTCACGCTCGACCAGTAGGACGCACGGAAAGCGACGCACAACGCACAACTAAGTCATGGAACACGGCTTCTCCATCAGGGAAGGACTGCACGGGGGGCAGAGGGGCGGAGCACTGTGGAGCAGATCATACTGTACTGCTGCCCACCCATAATAGCTCAGCCGGATCGACACATCCGTCATAGACAGAGAGAGAGAGAGAGAGATGGATCGCTGTGTTCCATGGCGCTAAAAATGGTTCGACGCGTCTAGGCGATCTATTTCGAAATCAGGCCGACGGACTATGCTTCATAACGGGGCACTAGAATACACGGAAGTACACTGGTAAAACAAGTGTGCAATATTTGCACACCAAACGTGTGCAAGTTGTGATTTATCACATTACATGGTGTTTAACTCAAGTTGCACACTTGCGTGGTGTGCAAATTTTCGACGTTTTGTAAACGGTTAAATTCTGCACACTTGGATGCACACAGTTCTATGCTGTCAATAGGGAACCATACGGTGTGCAGCTGCTATACGTTTCAGAAGTGTCGAAAGTTTAAACACCAATTGACGTATAACATAGTTAAACACCACAAATTGTCGAGAAAATGCACACTTGAACTTAAAACGTCAATTGACGTGCAAAATTAAACACTTGTTTTACCAGAGTGTACACACTTTGTTAAATGTTCTCATGATATAGGATAGGTGTGATACGATAGTTCACAACATAGCTTTAAAACATTAAGCGCGTATTTTGTCAAATATTTCTCCTGCTCCTATATGGCGTTTGGCATTAATATGAAAATAGACTTGAGTGTCTTTTTGGCTGTGCGCCATCTTGATAAAATCTGCGCACTCCAGCGTGCGACAGGCGAGCGGTGTCTCGCGCGCAGGTCGGCCGTGGGTCAGAGCGGGTCAGAGCAGGTGGGGAGAGCGAGAGAGTGAGAAGGGGGGGGGGGGGCTTGCGGAGAATGCGGCTCTACTATTGATTGGCATCTCATGTTTCCTGGCCTGGCTTCATTTAAATAACTCGCCCAACATTGTCGCCCGCCTGGAGCCCTGAACGCCTGTTGTGTCGTGGCATGCAAAGTTAAGGACCAGGCGAGAACTTTGTTGCACCATCGTCCTTTATATCCCTCTTAACTTTGCGCATCTAGCGTGGGAAAAATGATTCGGAACACTGTTTGTCAACGAACAAGGATTTTTTTTTTTTCACAATACTCTAACTCGCGTTTTCCACTGGTAAAATGTGTTCTAGTTGGATGTTCATCTAAACTTGTTTTTCTTATTTTCAGGTAAGCTGTCGCGGTTCGTTTTGCCGCCTTTCTTAGTAAGTAGTGCAGGCAAGAACCCACAGCAGGTTAAGGCCACCTCAACGGCTCTGCTGTTCACCTTTCGTGCGTTGTGGTGGAGCGGGGTGGGAAGGGGAGTTGGCCGCATCAGGACGGGACGAGAAGCGAGTCAGACATCAGGAACGAGGGGAGCAAGAGATGGGAGAGGAAAGGGGAGAGGGGGAGAGACCACCCAAGCCAAGCCAGCCCAGCGCGCACGGGCACAAGTACTAGTACAACCTCACTGGGTGATCGCTGCCGTTACACTGTGGAAAAAGGGGGGGGGGCGTTTGTTTTGTGTGTGGAATTTTCTGCACATCGCGGCAGCTGGAAAGTGTTTCACAAGTTTTTCTTTACACCCAGCAAAAGCGTGCATTCATCTCACAAGTTCGCATTTCACTTGTCCCAACCCCGAAAGCTGACTTCAAGTTCCAACCGGACTCAATTGGATCAAGTACTCGCTTTTCTGGGTGTATTATTTGTCGATCTGTGTGTGACAATGACTGATAAGCTCTTCCAAATGCCGAACAAAAAGAAAGTCAGAACTTCACGGAGAATTCGTCGATACGAAGTTGCCCAAACGCTTCGTGATTTTCCAAAAAAATTAGAACTCTTCATCTTTACCAAAAATTGATCAACTTTACTCTGGAAACCCAAGTGTGTACTTGAATGCAGTACCTCTTGCATATCTAAATGCATGCAGGAGGTCCTGTGTGCTTGGCAAGTATGCAGGAGGTAGTGTGAACTTGGTCAAGTACTCACTAAATCTCTCGCATGTATGTATGGAGGGAAATGACATAATATTTTTAACAGTGTTCCGTCTAAGTGCTGGTTTTTCAAATACGTGTAAGATTATGGTGAAGAGCCCATGGAAAGGAAATCGGCTGTATGTGAAACCAAAAAGCAACAACTTGGACTGCAGTCATGCACGCTGCTGGTGGGCGGGGGCGGGGAGGGGTTTTTCGAAGGAGTTAGAAGGCCGAGGCGCTCTCCTGCTGTGCTTGCTCCTGATTGGTCGCGTCCAGGCGGACCCAGCGGCCGGGATTACAACTTTATTGTGTACTTCCTGCTGGCGGAGGGGGAGGGGGGGGAGGGGGCA